AAATAAATGAATATTCAATATACACAGTTTTTCTTCTGTAGTATAGTTTTGAATCTGTCTATCAAATTACTGTCCCTAGCCAAGATAACTAACTCTGTTGTATAGGTATATATGTCATTTTATTCATTGTGGTCCCATTCCTGTAATTCATGAGATCTATTAAGAAGCTCACCAGCTACTCCTTGGAAACCCTATACAGGGTCGCTATGGGTCGTAATCGACTCTATGGCACTTAACAACAACAATAATTAAGATAATACCTAGTTGATCTATACAGTTTCTAAAATATTAACTTAGTATAATTGTAGTTATGTGGATAATGACATTGTTTTTTAAACTACTTTTGTGTTCATATTTTCCTTTTTTGACTTATCCCAAAGCCCATTTCCCAGCTATGCTTAATTTTTATTTTTCATTTTGTACTTTTTTCTAAATGGAGTTACTGCCAAAAATCTAATCAAATAAACCCTCAGAATTTATCATCCTAAATATACCCCTGGGCTACCCAGTCCTGTCATTCTAGGAACACCTCACCAATCTGATTGGAAAATGCGTTCATGAAATCTAACTTATAATGAATCTCTGGCTAAGACTTTTATGCTATTTTTCTAATAAAAACATTACCACTTTCAGTATGTGAATGAGATCATTTAAAACAACTGAGGTAAGTGTTAGGCTTAGCACTTCATACATAGCATTACTTAAAATGCAGATATTCCTGAGAGGAATAATTACTAGTTAACCATTTAGTGTTAACAAAGGTTCTGATATTTTTTCTGGGTTGAAGACAAGAAACAAAGTATTTTTGAACCCCTTGGTGAAGGACAGTCAACCAGAATGTTGTGATAACAAGAAGATTCCAAAGACTTTGCCATCTTTCCTGGGTGGGTTCACATGGGAGGGGATTTGAGCTAAAAGTGGAGCCCTGTGAGCTCCCACCCTGGTCCAGTCAGTTACATGATGGGGTGTCACAAAGTTCATGGAAAAGTCCATTATCTTATCATTCCATTTTTTAAGAACTTTTTGAAGCCGCCTCCCCTTTTTAAAAAAAATGTTTTATTGTGAATTATGTGATCGTTTACATGGGAAAACATTAGTTTTACATTCATCCTATTGTATATTTCATTGCCTATTTCATTGCATGGTTATAGTCCCCTCCATGCATCATCAACCAACCAAAGAGAGTGTCCTACAAGCCTGTCTCTCCCCCCCTCCCCCCCCCCCCCCCCCCAGTCAGCACTCAGCCCCTCTCTGTGTCTAAAAGCCCCTGCTGCTCCATCTCTCCAAGTCATCTCTGCTTCCATCTCAGGCATCACTGCTTGAAGCCCCTTTATTAATAGTAGTTGTTTTGTGTGGTGGGGGTATTTATTATTTTAACTTTTTACACTCTCCAGATATTGTCAACATATATTATTTTTATCATGGGAAAAGCTTTTAATATGTATCTTTGACTGCATTATTGTTCATTATTTCTGAGAATTTTTCATTCTGTTTTGTGGAAGTAAGCATAGAGTTTCTGTTTTAGAATGGAAGAGTTTATAATAATTTGGGAGCATTACAATGCTGTATGAAATTGAGGCTAAAACTTAAAAATCTGTTGTCTGTGTATGAAGGTAACTGAAAGTACCCATTTTGATGAGCAAATCTCCTACTTATCTGCAGCATTTTGATCTGGATTCCAAAATTCGTGCTGAGATTAACAGAAAAACTATTTATAAAATCCAACAAGCAGAAAAGGAATTGGCTTGGGAAAAAGAGAAACATCATCTTGGCTTAAAGAAACTACAGAATAGGTAGGACTGGCATTTCCTGCAAATTAGCATGTTTAAGAGCACGTGTTTGAATCAAGTAGTTTTTCATAGCTAATCAGGCATGGTCAGATAAGAGATATCCTGAAGTACTCACTGGCTCTAGAAATCACCAGGAATTTTCTTGCTACTGCTACTGACATCTTCATGACCTTGCTTGCTCACTACTTCAACCTACGATGTTTAATAATTAAAATGTTTTTACAGATCAAATTATATATAATATATATTTACTTTCTGGTTTTGAGAAATTATTTATTTTGTATCAGATTAATTAATACAGGATCATGCATATTTTCAGGAGAAAGATGGGGCTTTCTGCTCTCACAAAGATTTACTGCCTCAAAAGCCCTATACAACAACAACATACATATATTAGCATTAAAAAAGCAAATAGAGCCTAAGGGTACATAATGAAAGATAGAAATATCCTTATTCTATTCCTTTCCTGGACCAATTCGACTTCGCAGAGGAAAGTAACTTTAGTCGCCTTTATTATCACAATACAAGAGTCCTGGTGTGGTGCTGTAGGATAAGCACAGGGCCGCTTACCACAAGGTCAATGGTTCAAACCCACCAGCCACTCCTTGGAAACCCTGTACAAGGTCACTGTGAGATGAAACTGGCTTGATAGCACTTATTAACAACAACATTGTGATATAACTCATATACAGCTGTGTGTATAAATCTAATTGGATCAGATTGAGAGTTGTTATAGGTCTGTATGCATATCTTCAGAGTCCTGGTGTGGTGCTGTGAGTTAATGCACTGCACTGCAAAGTCATTTGAACCACAAGGTCGGCGGTTCAAACCCACCAGCCACTCCTCGGAAACTCTAAACAGAGTCGCTATGGGTCAGAACTGACTCGACGGCACTTAACAACAACATACATATCTTTACTACTCAAATCAAGATAGCACTGAAAGCTCTAGAAACTTTCCTTATGGCCTACTCTCAGTAAATACCTGCTTCCAAAAATCAACATTCTAATCTTTACCATCATAGATACGCTTTTGGCTGTGAACTTCATTCATATAAATGGGGCTGTACCGTGTGGATTCTTTTGCATCTGGCTTCTTTTAGTCAATGTCACATGTGAGGCAATCCACATTGTTTCATGTAGCAGCAGTTCATTCTTTTCCATTGTCTATAATATTTCAGTAATGGTTATTCCCCAATTTATCCGTGTTACGATCGATGAAAGGTGCCCTGGTAACACAATGAGTAAGTGTTAGGATGCTAAAGGAAAGGTTGGGGTTCAAGCCCTCCATCCAATCTGTAGGAGGAAGGTGTGGTAGTCTGCATCCATAGAGATTGTTGTTGTTGTTAAGTGCAGTCGAGTTGGTTCTGACCCATAACGACCCTGAAGAGGGTTTCCAAGGCTGTAAATCTTTACGGGAGCAGAAAGCCTCATCTTTCTCCTGCGGAGCAGCTGGTAGTTTCGAACTGTTGACCTTGCGGTTCACAGCCCGATTTGTAACCACTACGCTACCAGAGCTCCTTTCCATAGAGATTATTTCCGAGGAACATCTGGTGAGTTTGAACCACTGACCTTGCAGTTCAAACTGACTATGCAGTCCAGCACATTAACCTTCAGGTTACTCCTAGCAACCTTATGGGAGTC